AGAGAAAGAAAGAAAGAAAGAGTAAAAAAAGATATACCATGCCACCACCAGTCAAAAGAAAGCTAAAGTGATTACATTAGATATTAAGCAAAGTAGATCACAGAGCAAAGACTACTACCAGGGATAAAGGAAGTCATTCCAAATTCACAAGAGTTAATTAATCAAGAGCACATAATCCTAAATGTTGATGCTCCTAATAACAGAACTTCAAAATTAATCAAGCAAAACTTCTTAAGGAAAAACAGACAAATGCCAATTGTACTTGGAGATTCCAATATTCTCCTCTAAATACATACTTTTTAAAAAGTAGAAAATCAGCAAGAATATAGTAGTTGTGCACAATTCTACCAATCAACTTGATCTAACTAACATTTATAGAACACTCCATTCTTTTCAAGTGAACATGGAACTTTTGCAAAGATACACCATATTCTGGGCCATAAAACAAATCTCAATAAATTCAAAAGTTTGAATTTGTTTGAAAACAAAATATGTTTTCTTACCACAATGGAATTAATGGAGAAATAAGTAACATAAAAATTCTTAGAAGATCCCTAATAACTGGAAACTAAAACTCCCTTTTCTAAATATTCCATGGACCTAATTTCAAGTGAAATTAGAAAGTGTACTCAACTGAATGAAATGAAAATACATCAGAATTTGTGGGATGCACTACTAAAGAGGAAAACTGTAACACTGAATACCTATATTAATTTAAGTTTTCACTCTAACAAAGTATGTGCAAGAGTCGTATACTGAAAACTTTAAAAAGGGGGGCGGGGCGCTCAATACTGTTAAGGTGTCAATCCTCCCTAAATTGATCTACAAATCAACACAATCCCAATCCAAATCCCAGGAGGGTTTTTTGTAGAAACTGAGAAGCTGATTCTAAAATGTACATGGAAATGCAAAGGACCTGGAATACACAGTTTTAAAAAAGAACAAAGTTGGAAAACTCATAGTACCTGATGTCAAGACTTTCATAAAGCTACAGGAATCAAGACAGCACATCTGGCATACACATAAACACGTGCATCAACAGAACAGAGACTTCATATATGTGGTCAATCGATTTTCAACAAAGGCACTACGTTTAATGGAGGAAGGACAGTGTTTTCAACAAATGTTGCTATAGAAACAAACAAAAAAACCATCTGAATTCTTACCTCACACCACATATAAAACTTAACTCAAAATGGACCTAATGTGAGAGCTAAAACTATGAAATTTCTAGGGAAAAAACACAGATCTTTGTGATCTTGGATCAAAGAAATTTAGACACCACACCAAAAACATGACTCAAAGAAGAAAAAAATGGATAAACTGAATTTTATCAAAAGTAGAAACTTCTACTTTTTGAAAGATACTGTTAATGAAAAGGCAAGCCATATCCTGGGAGAAAATATTTTCAAAACATGTATCTAATTAAAGATTTGTATCCAGAAGGTATGAAGAACTCTTACAACTTCATAAAACACAATAAAAAAAGTGGGCAAAAATATGAATAGACACTTCATGAAAGATATACAGAGGGCAAGTAAGCCCAATGAAAAGATACTCAACATTATTAGCCATTAGGAACATGCAAACTAATACTATGATCAAATACTATCACATACCTACTAGCAAGGGTAAAATTAAAAAGAATGACAACACTAAGTGCTGATGAGAATGTGGGACAGCTAGAAATCTCATATATTACTAGCTGAAATGAAAAATGGATCACCACTTTGGAAAACAGCATGACAGTTTCTTATAAAGTCACCTACGTATTTATAATATGCTCAGCAATCTTACTCCTGGGAATACACTCTAGAGAAATGAAAATGTATGTTCACACATATGTTCACAGCAACTTTATTCATAAGAGCCAAAAATTAGAAATAACTAAGGAGACCATCAATTGATGGGTAGATAAAAACATTGTGGTGCATCCGCATAATAGAATACTAATCAACAGTAAAAAGGAACAAACTACTGACACAGACAACATGAATGAATCTCAAAAGCATTAAGTTAAGTGAATGAAGCTGAACACACCAAACTATATACTCTGTGATTCCATTTACATGACATACTAGAGACAAAACTCCCGATTAGTGGTTGCCCAGGGCCAGGGGTTGGAGAAGGCAAACTACAAAGGGATATGAGGGAACATTTTGAGTTATGGAAATATCCAAAACTTGATTCTGGTGGTGGTGAACAACTCTCTGTATTTGTCAAAACACATCAACTATACGTTTTAAAAGTGAATTTTACTGTAGGTAAATTATACCTCAATAAACCTGACTTTAAAAAACAGACTGGGTAATTTTTCCTTATTTATAATTCAAGTAGACAGGAGATTGTGATTTACATAAGAACTACTTTAAATCAAGAGTAGCATTCATGTTTAGTACAGCACAAAAATAATTTGGGTCAATAAAAATGTTTAACAGGAGAGGATTTGCCAGCTCAATTTTAAAGAACTATCATTTAAAACACTCTAAATATTGGCCACCTAGGTGGCTCAGTCAGCTGAGCGACCAACTCTTTGGTTTCGGCTCAGGTCACGGTCTCAAGAGTCGTGAGATCGAGCCCTGTGCTGGGCTCCTCACTCAGCAGGGAGTCTGCTTGAGATTCTCTCCCTCTCCCTCTCCCCCTCCCTATGCTTTAAATAAATAAATAAATAAATAAAATATTTTTTAAAAAATAATCATACTGTTAAAAGAACTTTATATGTTGATACCAACAGGCAAATCATCAATTCAGGAACATGAGAATAGTGAAGCAGCTCACCATTTCGACTTGGCTCATGCTGCTCCTTCTCCTGATGCGGGTTTTGTGGCTGCCCTATGCTGACAGGTGGGTGGTGCCCAAGGCCGTATGGTATGGGAGACCCCCGCCCGTGTGTCTGTAAGAGGTTCATATTGTAGGCCATCGCTGCCTGGTGTGTAAGGATCCGAGGATCGACTGCAAATCTGCCCTGGTACCCTGTCCATGGTACCTAGGTTATTACAAGAAATAAAATAACTGCATTACGTACACTTTGAAAGGCAAGCTATTGCCATAGTGCTGTTGATTAGGAAAAAGCAAACACACACAGAGAGATGTTAACTTTATCAAAATGAGTAACTACAAAGTCAATGCTAATTGTAACAGCTGGCAGAATTACTACTACATCTTAACTGGTCAAAAACTGGCTTCTTTAAAAAAGAAAATTGGCTTCCTGAATCTTTAGTGTATAGGGAAAATTGGTCATTTTTCAGGTTTGGAAGAAACTGAGGACTTTAAATTGATAATTATTCCTTGACACATTAAATCATTTTATAATCCTGAATCATTTCCCCCTCAATATGAATGTATACATGTCATAGGTTACCAAGGAAATTATCTTTTAAATTATAACTGCATAGTTACACAGTTTAATAGACTGAATGAGAGAATGGGGAAAATTAAGAAAGAATTTAGTCTAAGGAGTCTCGACACAAAATATACATATTCCAACTTTACATGAATAACCCAATCATTTCATGTCCATTTACTGTAGGGAAAATTCAAACAGGCTATTAGTTTAATTAATGCTTTTGATAAATTCAACTCTTCCCTTAAACCACAGAAACAGAACATTTCTTTAGGTGTTATCTAAACATATCCTCTCTGTGTACGAACATAAAAGGATAAATACAATGACATCTAATCTAAGCTACTCTTACTGTAATATAACTGTTAAATGCAGACTCCTAAAAAAAATCTTATATAATAAAAGCCTCTTTGACCTAGTAAAATGAAATATAAATCCTAAAGGAATTACTATTTAAAGCAAATGATGTATAATGTTGCCAGGCTGTCTGGGAAGAAATAAGTCAGCTAAAATTGAAGATCTATGGGCAGTGGGCATGAATTACACATTTCTTACTGACAGTTATTCTCATTGGCTGCTGTAATTGTAAACTATCGTGATCAATATGGCTGAGAAAGGTTTACAGCTAGGCATTTTTCCATTTTGGTGGTGGGAGGTGCCAAAAATCCTTGGCAATAATCACCTCTTCCTGAAATTACAACACTTGCCTTAGATGAAAGATATGTTTTCTAGGCTAAAATTCCTGAATTTGGAAATATTATATCAGCAAATTTACAAAATTACCAAAATATTAAAGAATCTTAAAGGAATAAAAATGGGTTATACACAAGATGGAAGCCCTCTAAATATCTATTGTCTTAGAAAGGATTTAATAATGTTTTTAAGTACCCATTAGATTTCATAAGGAGTGAAATTTCTCAGAAAAATTCACAGATCCGGAGAGCTGGACTAATCCAAGCTTCTGTGCCTGCTCCAAAAAACTATATTTCTTAGGAAAGGTTAATGAATTATGTAAGAATAAAAAAGTAAAAGATAAAAGAGACCAATTTATACAAGCTATGTTAACTTTCAGCTCAATTTTCCCAGTAAAAGTATTTTAAAAGAATACAAAGGCTTCTCAATCAAAACATCCAATTTACAGATTTCTTCATAGCCACTGACTATCTAGTAACAAATTGTAAGCAACAATTCATATTTCTTTGGTCATTTCAAAATTTGAAGGTTAAAGAAAGAGCTGCTATAAAAGCTTACAGGCACTGAAAAGTTTTTTTTAAAAAGGTACAACACTATTTGGGATAGTTACTAATTTCATGAAACCTATTTTATTTTATTCAATAGAAAGTATCTCAAATGTCCACTTACAGGTAAAGGCACCGACATGACTACATTCCCTCCATAGACAGCAGGTACGTAAAGAATACTGGTCCCAGTGTGAGGGTCTATTCTCTGAACAGGGCTTGGAGACTTCCCCAAATTTGGGTGAGGTCCAAGAGGTGGTGGAGGAGTATATGCTCTAATAGGATTGCCAATAAGTACAGAAGGATTGGGCTGAACTGGAAAATCAAGAGAGAGGATGCACTCAGTAGTTGTCCACATTCCTCTAGACAAGAATAATTTAAAACACCAACAGCAAAATACATTTCCCAGGTTTTCCCAAGATGTCTTATAATCAAAGAAATACCAATATGGAAGAGTAAAGCATACTAAAAACACATAACCATTTTACAATGTTCCCTAAAATTAGCTTGAGATATACAAAGTATTCCTTTTGTAAACTAGTGTAATTGTAAATGTCTTCCAAGAAGCTAGAGGTGTGTCTTTCAAGAGAGAAAACCATACACACTCAGTAAACATTCTTCTAAGACTAGGAAAATAAATACAATCCCTCACAATGAAGTCTTGGCTTGCAACTGTAATATAGCCACAAACAAAATGAAGGTTAAGCAATTATTATTTTAAAAGCACAATTCTGTGATATTTTAAATCGTTTAAATAAACTTCATCTTGAAGTTTCAATGACCCAACATTTGTAGAATATATTTTCCAAAAACTCTTGTTGCATGGGCTTAAATGTTTTTCCTCAAAACTTCTAGATATAAGTCACCTGTTTTCAGAAACGGCATAACAGAATTCACAAGACCAGATGTGTTGAAAAAAAGAGTTAAGTGAGTTCCAAAGTGAGTGAGTGTGTGTGTGTGTGTGTGTGTGTGTGTGTGTCCTGCCCCCTCCCCATCCTCCTCTTTCTAGTGATGAAGTTTGGGGGTAAATCTCTTATACAATAAAAGCAAGTTATCTCAGAGCTAATTTTCCACTTACCAGTTCCATCATTCTGGAAATGATCATTCTGGGTATGATGGAGGCTTTTCCCCTTTAAAGAAAAAAAACAGAAGTATAATAATTTAAACACATTTCATCTTAGGAGAACAATAACCACTTTCCTAATCCTATGCAAACTGAATATATACAGCAACAATTAAAATTCAAAGACTGCAAGTCTGTAATCAATAACCATTAGACTGTTTTGAGTCAACTTTCTTTTTAAATATTAAGTCATGGGGGAGCACCTGGGTGGCTCAGTCAGTTAAGCGTCTGGCTTTCGCTCAGGTCATGATCTCAGGATCCTGGAATTGAGCTCCATGTAGGGCTCCCTGCTCAGTGGGGAGTATGCTTCTCCCTCTCCCTCCACCCGCCTTCCCACCCACTCATACTCTCTCAAATAAATAAAATCTTTTAAAAAAATGAATAAATAAATAAATAAATATTAAGTCATGGTGCTAGGCCTCTAATTTTCTCAGCTTCAAATTAAGGGTATCAAATTCTTTGTTTAAATGATTTTTTAAATAAAAAGAAATAAGCAGTCAATGTGACTGAAACCTAAATTCTGTTCCTTTGTAGCTTCTCTACAAATTTTCTATTAATTAAATGATGAAATGAAAAGTTGCTTTTCAAGGGAAAAACAGTCTTCAATCCCTGAGGATGAAAACCTTTAAAACAACCATGTGAACATAAACATGGTTTGGGACTTATGGTATTTCAAGCATGATTCATGGCATCTTAAAGTGTAAAATTCACTAAAGGGATAGGAAAAGACACTGACACAATCTGCTTAAGAGAATGTACAAATGTTCTAGAAAGCAATTTGGCAATATTACCAGAAGCATCAAAAATGTATATACACTTTAACCCAATAATTGCACTTTCAGGAATCTATCCAAATAAAATAATACTGGATTTGGGCACAGATGTTCATCACAGCATTGTTTATATGTATGTTAAATGTTAACAACCTGAATGTCCATCAACTGAAGATTTATGAAATAAGCAATGCTAGAAATGGGATGATTTTAGGGCAGAAAAAATATTTGAAGAGACAATGGTTCTGAATTTCTGGACTTTAAAAAATGTCTTTCTCGTTCTATTGGCTAAATGTAACACACAAAGCCATGATACAACACAAGTAGCACGTTATACAACTTACCCTTAAGACACACACAAATCTGTTATTTGTATATAACATCTGAAAACTGAAGGTGCGGGGCGGCGGGGAGGGGGGTTGGATAACATCTATAGCAGGGGAAAAAATTTCTTCCTGACCAAAGCAAAAGTACAGTGACGCTTCATTTATCTCCCTATCTGTCGGCAATGTTAATTATTCAAGTCAGCACTAAACATCAAAGGCATGTGGTCAGGTAGGTTAGTTATGAGCGGACAAGGGTAACGAAGTTCCAACTCTTAGAGAGCCAGAAGAAACACTCAAAAAAGAATCACAGTCGGTCCATTAATCCCGAGACTATTCCCAGTGATTGGCACTAGCTATACAAAACAAACTTCTGAGGAATAGAGGAGCAGTAAGAAAAGCATGGCAGGAGAAAGAAGAAGCCATGAGGGCACCTGGGTGCCTCAGTTGGTTAAGCAACTGCCTTCGGCTCAGGTCATGATCCTGGAGTCCCTGGATCGAGTCCCGCATCGGGCTCCCTGCTCCGCAGGGAGTCTGCTTCTCCCTCTGACCCTCCCCCCTCTCATGTGCTCTCTCTCATTCTCTCTCTCTCAAATAAATAAATAAAATCTTTAAAAAAAAAAAAAGAAACCATGAAAAGGTGAGCGCTGCAGGCAGCAGAGACGGTGGAAATAGGTGGGAAGATCAGAAGCAGAAGCAATCAGAAGTGACATCAAGAGCAGCTGGGGCACATACACTGATGGAAGAAAGGAGAGAAGGCCGTTCCAAAAGGGTAGCAAACCATTTCGATTTCTTAGCCTCTAATGAACCATCAAGCAGGGGTGAATGTGCAGCATGCAGAGAAAACAGTGATGTAGTCATAGTGTGGTACGAACAGTCCCCCAGAGATGTCCACACCCTGATCCCTGGAATCTGTGACTATGCCATGTTATGTGGCAAAAGGGACGCCGCAGATATAATTAAGTGGTGTATTTGAAATAAGGAGATTATCCTAGATTATCTGGGTGGACCCACTCTAATCACATGAGCCCTAAAAGCAGAAAAGTTTCCCCAGCTGGAGTCAGACAGATGTGGCAGAAGAGGAAGTCAGAGATTCCAAGGGAGAGAAGGATTTTAATACATTGCTGGTCACTCTGAGACAACACAAGGGCCAAATGCAAGAATAGGAGAGAAGCCTCCAGAAGCTAGGAACACTCCAGCGGGCAACAAAGGCAACAAAAACAAGGACCTCGGTCCTGCAACCACAAGGAACTAGATTCTGCATGAACTCAGAAGCAGATTCTTCCCAGAGCCTCCAGATAAGAGGCCAGTCAGCCAACACCCTGATCCTGGCCTTGTGAGACCCAACACCAAGAAACCAACCAAGGGTTGGGACATGTGAGCCAAAGAAATGTGAGACAATACATTTGTGTTGTTTTAAGTCACTAAGTTTGTGCTAATTTGTTGCAGCAACAATAGGAAACCAATACAAAGAATAACCACAGTCTAGGTTAATCCTATATGTAAAGCTGGAAGCAGGCCAGACAATATATACATCAGCACTCTGGGTTGTGGGATACACTAAATTAAAAAGCAACTTGGGGTCTACCATGTAAAAAGATATGCACCTCTACAAGTATAATTCAGCACTCTGTATGGTTCAGTGCAGGAGTCACTTTACTCAGATGCTTCGACTTAGCACGCAGCTGTAGGGCAGTAAGTGTACTTGGTCCGTAGAATAATCACATGGTGTTTGGTAGTTTATAAACAAAATAATAATGCAGCAGTAGGGTTAGCACTGTCTGTAAAAGTCATCCCACAATGATAATTCCAGAAGTTTGCTAATAAATCTCAGAAAGTATGTGAACTTCTAGTAGAAGGTCAGGATTTTTATAAGCAAATATAGCTCATGTCAACATAGTTTGTAAGGACTTTTTACTCTACCATTCCTTTGTTCAAATATTTACTATTTCACACATTGTTTTCCATTTACGCATTCAACACATGTTAATGAGGCCCACCACGTGTCCACCCCTGGCTGGGCACTGAGGCTACTAAAGTACACAGACTGACAGGCTTTCTGATGTCCGGACAGTGAGAAACAACATAAGCAGCTGGAGACAGATGATGAAAACAACTCACAACTAGAATCTGTAAAATAATGCTTTGGTCTTTTCAGAGGATCCATTTCTGAGTATTATCTATGCTCTGTCCGGTTTTTAGTGTGTGCGCAAATGAATCTGTTCCATTTTAACAAAGCTTCCAAACATTGCTCCCAGCAAATGCCCTAGGATAAGTGGAATGAAAACAGGCAAATTGCTTTTCTCTGTGCTAATTCTGCAGGCGCCCATGAAACAGGCGCTTGGCGATAAATGATGCCTGCAGAGAGGGAGGCAATAAAGGGCCAGCTTGGACAACCGGCTCCTGGAGCCCTAACATTCTGTACCTTCGCTAACACCATCACAGAATGGACCTCTTACATAAAGTTATGTGACTGCTCAACAGCTCAGGGCATGTTTTGTTGCCAAACACAACCCTAAAAGCAAGCAGGTCCTGGAGCACTTTTAACTATCAGCCAGGCTTCTGATGACTGCATCTACATGAAATCAGACTGGGATTTAAATCGTCAATACTAACTGTATCAACAGTACTAATTTTTAATATTTCTTATGCACAGAACTGTGTTAAAAGTCAAACATTAAGGAAAACTTAAGGGGAAATTGTATGGTTTAGTATCACATTTTCAGAAACAGCATCCTTGGGGTGCCTGGGTGGCTCAGTTGGTTAAGCATCTGCCTTCGGCTCAGGTCATGATCCCAGGGTTCTGGGATTGAGCCCCGCATCGGGCTCCCTGCTCAGCGGAAAGCCTGCTTCTCCCTCTCCCTCTCCCCCTGCTTGTGTTCCCTCTCTCGCTGTCTCTGTCAAATAAGTAAATAAAATCTTAAAAAGAAATAGCATCCTTTTCTAGCAATGATGTAAATCCCCATTCATCAAAAGATTCTAGCACATGAAATAAAATATCTGGGATTTGTTTCAAAATTTTCCAGTGTGTATATCTGGTGGGGGAGGGAGGGGAGTGGTCTGTAGATGAGACAAGATTAAGTTGGTAATTAATAAATCTAGATGACAGGGGGTCACCCGGGTGGCTCAGTCAGTTGAGTATCCGACTCTTGGTTCTGGCTCAGGTCATGATCTCCGGGTCCTGGGCCTGAGCCCCAAGTTGGGCTCCATGCTTAGCGGGGAGTCTGCTTGTCCCTCTACCCCTCCCCCCCACTAGTACTCACGCTCGTGCGCGTGTTCTCACTCTCTCTCAAATAAATAAATTCTTAAAAAAAAAACAAAACCTAGATGACAAGGAATTCATTATACTATTCTACTTATGAATGTTTTAAACTTCCTACAATAGAAAATTAAATAAAACAAAACTCTAGCACAAATTCAAACCTCAAAACAACTTAATGGAAGTAAAATAAAATACTGGGAGAGAAAGAAGATAAAGTGACAAAAATAACCTCTTGCTCACTATACCTCAGTTGTTTAAAATTACTGATTATTCTCATACATGCTTTAAATAATCAATAATCTTAAATAGCCGGGTGTATAAAAAATTTGATGAACCACTGTGTTAGTGACATAGAAACAACAGATGATATGTGTTGTATCAGTGAAAAATATTTTCTAAAAAGTCAAAAAAAAAAATCGGGGCAATGGCTATTTTGGCCATTAATTAAAATTACACAATCCTCTTATTAAAAGAGAAAAGCCAGGGTGCCTGGGTGGCTCAGTCAGTTAAGCGTCTGCCTTCGGCTCAGGTCATGATCCCAGGGTCCTGGGATCGAGCCCCACGTCGGGCTCTCTGCTCGGCGGGAAGCCTGTTTCTCCTTCTCCCACTCCCCCTGCTGCGTTCCCTCTCTCTCTGTGTCTCTGTCAAATAAAGAAGTTTAAATAAATAAATAAATAAAAGAGAAAAGCCACACCAAAAAAAAAGGGGGGGGGGGAGAAAAGCCACGCTACACTCTACTGGATGCATCATAACCATTATTCTCTTATCAAATATTCACTGAGCACCCACTACATGCAAAGAGGGGGGCGAGGCACTAGGGGCCATAAAAAGTATATAGAAGAGGATTTTTGTCTTCAGGGAGTTTATGGTTTTAGAAAAGCAAGTGGATTGAACACATATTTACTTCACCTTTAAAATGACAACAAAAAGCAAACTGTAGAATCTTGCTTAGGGTCAGTCCACATTTGGTATCATGGCTTGAATCTAGCTGCACCTATAGTACATAAATTGATGCTTACATTCTCAAGTCAGTAAGAAGAGTTTACTCTATTGTAGTTAGGGATGTGCAAAGGGTATAATGATTTTACAACACTGTAATTAAAAAAAACAGTAAAATACAAAAATTTCTACCTGGATTCCCTACTCCCCACACACCCTAAACTCCTTGCTGATCCCTGTAGAGCCTGTTCTCTCACACCTCTGGCCTTCTGTATAGGCTCTTTCTTGAGCTTCATTCATTCATCTAAAAACTACTTTTAAGCACCTATGATGAGCCAAGTGTTGTTCCAGGCACTGAGGCTATAGCACAGTAAGTAATACAGGCAAAAATCTCTGCCCTAATGGAGCTTTTATATCCTCGTTTCTGAAATGTCTCCTCAGTCTAGCACTATCCCCGTCTACTCAGTGGACTCCTGAACAAGATCTCTGTGATGGAAACTGCCTTGAATCCACCTACTTCCTCTGACCATCACCCTCCACCATCTGCCGCAAAGGACTCCGGAGGCCTAATCCGCTTATCTAGGCTTCTCTAGCACCTACCATAGCAGCTGGTACACTGAAGAAACTTAACTATCCGACAAATAAGTTGATAATCAGTTTATTAATAGTTTAAGCTTTAGAAATCTAGAAGATTCATTTATACAAGATGCTTAACCCCCTGGATATCCCAAATCACTAAATATTACTGCACATTTGGTCCATTTTTATTAAACTAATAACATACAACAGTATTTTAACACAGAAGTAGTTCTCTTCTCAGCTTATTACCTATTGAGCTGAAAGATTTAAAAGATATTAAACCATTAGTTATTGTTTACACATGAGGTTTTACATTTTTAAAATGAAGCCCCAAATTGAAATATTCTTTTACTTCGTTCATGTCATTTAATACCATACTGATGACTATAAACACACCAAAAAAACCAGAACAAATACTAAACATGCCATTCTCATAGCTTTCTTTTCTAGATGGTAAGTGTAAGCATATGTTTTTCAGGCACTGTAGCAAAAACACCAGTTGTCCCTGCCCAAAATAACTATGGTTCAAAAGTAGACATGGCCCTGACTGACCCACCTCCACTCCTCATTGGATTACTTCTTACACAACAAATATAGGTCAAATCAATTAAAGTAATCTTCCAGAAGTCAACCAAATTTTTTCACTGTGTCAAATATTACTTGAAATGAACTGGTCAGCAACCCAGGATTATAACTGTTTTCTACAAACACTATTACATAGTATTATTCCTTATAATAATATGCTCTAAGGGCATGCTTTTAATGAGTGTTGACGGTCTTTTAAACTGCTTTGTTTTACTCACATCTTGCTAAAGAAAAGCCTACCAGTAGAGAGGACAGGGATAAAGGACACCAGAAGCAACCTGGTACTTGAAAACTTCTTTGAGGATGATTAGGACACTGAGCACGGCTGCACACCACACTGCATTTGCTCTCACTACATGTCCAAGCTAGACAAGCTCCTTGCAGAAACCGCTTGCCACCAAATGTAACCTTCATTTCCAATACTTAAAGTAACTTGCAGCCCGATGAACCCCGGACCCTTCTGTGCTGCTCTCTCCCTCCACCCTCTTGGATTCCATCAGCAGGCTTTACCTTGGGGGGTGACTGCTGCAGTTTGTTGGTATTTCCTGAATGCTGCAGTCTCAGAGCCCGGGGGATAAATTCAGGTGCCAGCGGATTCAACACATACGTCTTCTTGAGTTCTAAAGCCTCTAGCTGAGCTTTGATCTGTTCAAAAGTGATTCCGTGCAGGCTATTATTTTCATGACACAGGGCAATAAACCGTTCCCAAAATTTCCTACAGAAAAGATTTAGAAGATCAGTTCACAGTATCAGTGGATAAAATCCCAGAAATGAACATAAGCAACTAAAGATCGTTTCGAATTCCCGCTTCCCACCCCGAATCCTCAGATCAACATTCATCTATGATTCAGGTATAATCTTTCCACCAGATCACAAGACTCCAGAAGTTTGATTCTGAAACTACAGTCATGTCAAATATTGTGGAAAACACAAATCATGCTCTCAATTAATTTTGGCTGACCAATGCATGTGGTCAATGCTCAATTATCCACCAATCTAGAATGACAGTTTCGTTATCCACATAGTAAGGATTTCAAAACTGTTGCTACCTCATTTTACAGATGATTTGTACTTCAAGACATACTCACATACACATTATATACATATACAAATATAGACACATACATAAAGCAGACCGATTTGAATTATGGGGCCAAAGGAGACTGGTGCTAGATGACTAAGAAAAGCCAACTCAGGACATAAATCTGAGCCACAAAGTAGATAATCCTCATGGAAGATTCTTAAATAACTAGCTATTCCTATATTTTTCTCTTACTTAACAGATGCTTGTAACAAGCAGAACATTAATCGACTGAGAGAGTTTTTAATTAATTATGAAAAATACAGGAAGCTGGAATGTGAATTTTAATGTTGACTATTCATTTCCTAATCAAATTAATAAATAGGAAAGAAAAAAATACATTCAAAAACTTGTTGCAGTTGGATAGCCGTTTTCCTACAGGTTTGGAAACTGATCTCCAAATATTAAAAATATTAAATACATATTACAAAAGACAACATAATATTTTTTATTTTTAAATGACCATTATAAATATGCATACCTATCTTTAATAGGAGGTTCAAATAACGTTTTATTAAACTATAAAAGATATATGATGTGGTTTCTTTCCAAGTTGGTATCCTTGTGTCCAGGTGGACAAGAAGTAATCAAGATGGTTTCAAGAAGCATAAATGAAAAGGTTTATATTATAAAAGTTAGTATATGAATGGGAATTGGGTTATTAATATATTCAGAAAACTTTGCACGGTTTAATTTTGAACTATGTTTCTCTTACATATGTCTTTTCTACTTTTTTAAAGGTAAGTTTAAGAAATGGGTCCAAAAAAATTTCAGGCCTATATGGCAACAACAGGAAAAATACTACAAAATATTAAATATGCATTTCTGACAATAAGATATAAAGCCTAACAAGATAGTCATTCAGTTACAGGAAGTATGTGTTGCTAAGAAATGCGTAATTTTACCCTTTATTTCTATTAAGAACCCTTCTGGGGGCGCCTGGATGGCTTAGCTGGTTAAGCGTCTGACTCTTGGTTTTGGCTCAGGTCAAGATCTCAGGGTCATGAGATGGAGCCCCACGATAAGCTCCATGCTCTGTGCAGAGACTGCTTGTCCCTCTTCCTCTGTTCTCCCTGCTCTCTCTCTCTCACATACATACATACACACACACATACATACAATCTTAGAGAAAAAAGCCCTTCTGAAGGAATCAAGGCTTTTTTTTTTCACAGTCTGATAGCTAAGGAAGAATTACCTTTTTAAATTATTTTTTATTTATTTATTTGAAAGAGAGAGTGTGTGTGAAAGAGACAGCACAAGCAGAGATTTTGTTTTTATGCTAACCTTGCTTCCAGGATCACTGATAAAACACTGGAAAATCACTTGGCATCCTTAGGTTATAAAGAGTGCGTATGTATACACACACAAATACCCACATGTCTACATACATATGAAATATGATTGTATCTCACTGACTAAATGGAATTTGCTAATGAAGAAACTCAGTTCAAAGGAAGACCTCCTCCAAACACACTGGTTTGGAGAAATGCATGACTCCTCTCTGGCTCTCCCCACTCAGTGCAGATTTATACAAGCATATTCATCACTTCCTGGGAAAGGCAGGGTAACCCAGAGAGAAGAGCTTGGGTTTCGAAGTCAATGTGACATCTGTTTGAGTGAACCATTTAATAGGTATCTGACCTTGGGCAGTAATTTAAACTCTGTGAATCAGGAAGCCCATTTAAAATGAAAATAAAATTCCCACATTGCAGGGTTGTTGGGATGACTGAATAAGGCTAAGTGTGCAAAGCACTTAACCAGGCACCTGGCAAGAGAAAGCTGTCGGTAAACAACAGCTACTATATTAAGATTCGTTGGTTTGGCGAGCTGGGGAGGGGGAAGTTCACTACATTCACTTCAGGTTAACAGATAAATTCTATTTAAAAATACAACAAAAAAGATTATATAACGGTTGCCTTCTAAACTGGTATACTATACACAATTATTCCTTGAAAATGTAATATTTGGAAATATATTAGTTTTTCATAAATACTGAATGGGACACAGTGGAGGTGGGGCTGATTAACTCAAACTACAAAGAATTCATTCCTCTGTTATTATAGTGCCTAAGAATCATATATGTCAGGGCGCCTGGGTGGCTCAGTCGGTTGGGTGTCTGCCTTCAGCTCGGGTCATGATCCCGGAGTCCTGGGATCAAGCCCCGCATTGGGCTCCCTGCACAGTAGGGAGTCAGCTTCTCCTTCTCCCTCTGCCCCTCACCCGGTTCTCGTGCTCTCTTTCATTCTCTCTCTCAAATAAATAAATAAAATCTTAAAATCTTAAAATAAATAAATAAAGGCCATATACAAGTCCACAGCTAACATCATACTTAACGGTGAGAAGCTGAAAGCTTTACAAAAAAAGATAAAATTGCCTATGTCCTCCAAGTTTACTTGTATTATGAGATTAAATTAATTTCTAATGAAATTAGAAAGATCAAAGCACAAATACCCATACCCTTCAACTACCAGCTCTTGGATTAAAGCTGTGATTAAAGTGTCCAAATAACACAGATAATGAGCATTCCAAATTAGCTATAAGTCACCTGATTTTTTTCTCCCTACACAATACAGTTAACCTCTCTGAAAATATTTTGCCTAGCTTATAAATCAATTTGTAGTCCTTAATACACTCCAGCTGAGTAGTAAGAAATAAGCAACCAATAGACCTGGCTACAAGTTAAAAATTAGCCGTAATAATTCTGACAGCATGACCTCACAAAGAATTATTCACCTATCTGCTCTGAGAAAAATAACAATTTATGTCAGAGAAGGGATAAAAAATGCTGATCTCATGGAATTTACAGCATAATACAACTCTACAGAAACAGTTTTTAAAAAAATATTGATAAATGTTTGACGTTATTTATAAAAAGAGTTCATCAAAACAAGTTTGGCTCAAGACTATTGTTATACCTATTTATTCCCCCAACAGTTTCTAATTTGTTTTTTTTCCCCTAGTTTTTTTTAATAAGTTGTCCTATTTTATGTTTTAATCTATTAAATTCTAATCAAACTGTATGTATTCTTACATTTTTCAAATGATAAATATAAACAAAAATGGTAAAATATCATAGCAATATTCTAACCAAAAATGCTTTCAATGAATTATAAAGTAACTAAAGTAAAACTCTTAGGAGAAAAGCCAAATTATTATACCCAGTTTTATTCATTTGTAACTTGGAATTAATATATTCCCTTTCCCAACTTTTTGTCATTAGTGGCCAAAAATGAACAGAAATCTATCTTTTTAATATGAAATTAAATATATTTTGGGGTGCCTGCGTGCTCAGTTGGTCAAGTGTCTGCCTTCAGCTCAGGTCATGATCTTGGGGTCCTGGAATCAAGCCCTGTGTCGGGCTCCCTTCTCAGTGGGGAGTCTGCTCTTCCCTCTGTCTCTCTCTCTCAAATAAATGATAAAATCTTAAAAAAAAAAAAAGATATTTTACAACAGGACTGTTTAGGTATGCATAAATAAGTCATGGACCACTCAAGTTTTGTGGATTCCTTTTTAAAGAAAAGGTTATTTTTTCATAACCTAACCATAAATTAAAACTACTTGATTCCTTTGTTAATGGCTTTCCCCTATAAAGTATATTAACTTCTTCTGGAGTCTTAAACTCTAATACAGGCAGATTATTATTAAAGGTCACAGTTGTCTCCCTCCCATAGAATTCTTCCTGCTGAAACAGGAAAACAGACAATAAAATGCTGCCATATCTATATCGCAATAGAAAACTTGGTTTAAGCAACTTCCTAGCAGCTCTGTCTACATTAATTCTAACATATCAAAAAGAAATAGTTACCCAAGGCATATTTGGGACTGTCTACATTGCTTTCTACTATCTGAATTCACGTCGACAGGTCCTAGAACACTTCCACAACTTTAAGTAATCCCTAGTGTATTTCTTTTCCATAAAAGAATATAGATTATAAATTTCTGTTCAACTGGTTTTTTTGTTAATGGTAACATAATTTTCAACACTAAAAAGACCAAGTCTTATATTACTGGCTTCAAACAGTTAAAATTCCTATTATTTATATATACGTAAGTGTATAAAGAGTAATTTCTTATTTTGATATTTTAACTAAAACATTTTAGTAGAAATACTTCCTTATGACTACAATCTAAGGAATACTAGCAACACTATTCAAAGACAAGTAATAACCACTCCTAACCTCCTTAATTTTAAGACCCTTGGATTAACCAAACACGAAGAATCATTTACACTGAGAAGCCCTGAGAGAAAACAAGTAGAGAAGGAAATTCATCAAAAACAAGCTGACACAATAATGAAGGGGAAGAAATGAAATGGTATCAATATAAAATTCAGTCTTCATCAAAGATACACATATACACAAAACCACCTCAGGACTCTTGCACAAGCTGTTCCCTCTTCCTGGAGCACTTTTACCCCAGATAACAGCATAGCTCACTCCCTCACCTCAAAGTCAGCTTCTCAGTGAGGGATGCTCTGACCACACTCCATAAATTACAAACCAGCCCACTGCACCCCCATCACTCCTAATTCCCCTTAATGTTCTATTTCTCTTCCATTGAACTTACCACGTACAAGAACGTAAAGCCCACAAAGGCAGAGATTTTTAGTCATTTCTGTTCACTGATATATTCTTAGTGGCTAGAAAAGTGCTTAGAACATAGTAGGCCCTCAGGAAATATCTGCTGAGTGACGACTAAATGAAAGAATACATAATTATGAACATAATGAATAGACCCAAAGCAATGTATTTTTGTGTTCCCACTGGATATCAGGTGACTGAACCTGATTTTAATTAGCCAAGAGGTCATATAAATAAGTATATACATAGGGATGCAAATTACTGTACATTTTCCCCCTTTAACGTCTCAATCAGTAACACATAATTACCTGCATCTTCCAATAGAGCACAGAGCAATGGGATCACCCACCACAGCAACCAGGGATTGTGCTCTTGTGATGGCAGTATTGAGAAGTTTGTAGTTAGATAAAAAACCATAATCTAAATCCTCTGTGGAATCTTCCAGCAGCTGCTCTTTCTTTTTAATCGGTGTCTGTTTATGTTTACAAGTATGCCTTGTACGTACTGTGCTAAGAAACAAAACTCTGAACTGTTTTCCTATAAAAAAATAAATAAATAAAAGACTTAAGACAAAGCATTTCAGTTTTTAAATGTTATTGCTAAGTAACAAGTGTCAGTGAGAAACTGAAACTCCTATGTCCTGCAGGTGGGAATGTCAAAGGGTATGTAAAACACTCTGGAAAGTAGTGTGGCAGCTCCTAGAACAATTAAACATAAAACTAAAACACAAAATTAAATTTAAGCATAGAATTAACACAGGATCCAGCAATTCCACTTCTGGGCATTTACCCCCCAAAAAACTGAAAGCAGGATCTCAAACAGATAATTTATATACCCATGTTCATAACAGCCATTAGTCACAGGGGCAAAAGGTAGAAACAACCCAAGTGTCCATCGACAGATGAATGGATAAACAAAATGTAGTGTATACATACCATGGAGTATCATTCAGCCTCTTATACACGGTGCAACATAGATGAACCCTGAAGACATTATGCTAAATAAAATAAGCCAGTCACAAAAGAACAAACACCACAGGACCACACTTATATAAAGTACCTAGAGTGGTCAAATTCATAGAGAGAAAGCAGAATGGTGGTTGCCAGGGGGAGGAGGGAAGTGGGACAGGGAGTTACTGTTTAATGGGTACAGAGTTTCAGTTTCACAAGATGAAAAGAGTTCTGGAGACGGACGGTGGTGATGGTTGCACAACAAAGTGAATGTCCTTAATGCCAATGAACTGTGGCATTTTATGTATTTTTGAACTGGAAAGACACTTTCAGAATGAACACATAAAAATGGTTAAAATGATAAATTTTTTTAAAAATTTAAAAAATATTATTGCTGGAACCAGCCTTAGATTATCTTGTCTAAGGTCCCACTCAATACAAGGACCATTCCTTGAAGCAAGGTCATCTAGCCTCTCCCTAACCGAAGGCAGATACAGCTGATTGCATAAGGAGGGGAAGGCTTACTGAGACTCTAGTTTGCACATTTTTTCTTACGCTCTTTCTTATAGTAACACATCTATTTCCTCATTCTGTGACAAATCTACAAATTTCTGAATACAGTTTTAATATCAATCTTCAGTCTTCTCTAGCCAAACAACCCAGGTTCTTTCAATCATTTCTGATTCCCCCCATGTGGCAGTTTTTAGACCATTACTTATCCTAGGTCTCCTTTGGGTGCTTCCTATCTTACTGGTAATATTCCTTCTAAATGCACGCCCAAATGTCCACTCTCACCATTACTTTTTAACATAGTACTGGAAGTCTTAGCCTCAGACAACAAAAAGGAAAAAAAAGGCATCCAAATAGGCAAGGACAAAGTCAAACTTTCACTATTTGCAGACAACATGATACTCTATGCAGAAAACCCACAAGACACCACCAAAATAATGCTAGAACTAATACATGAATTCAGCAAAGTCGCAGGATATAAAATCAAAGTGCAGAAATCTGTTGCATTTCTACATACAAAAAATGAAGCAGCAGAAAAAGAAATCAAGAATCGATCCCTTTTGCAATCTCAGCAAAAACCGTAAGATACCTGGGAATAAGCCTAACTAAAGAGGTAAAAGATCTGTACTCTTAAAAACTACAGAACCCTTATGAAAGAAATTGAAGAGGACACAAAGAAATGGAAAAGCATTCCATGCTCATGGATTGGAAGAACAAACGTTGTTAAAATGTCTATACTACCCCCCAAAAATCTACACATTTAATGCAATCCCTATCAAAATGCTACCAGCATTTTGCACAGATCTAGAACAAATAATCCTAAAATTTGTATGGAACCACAAAAGACCCCAAACAGCCAAAGCAATTCTGAAAAGGAAAAACAAAACTGGAGACATCACAATTCTGGATTTCAAGCTATATTACAAAGCTGTAGTCATTAAGAGAGTATGGTCCTGGCACAAAAACAGACACATAGATTAATGGAACAGAATAGAAAACCCAGAAATGGACCCAAAACTATATGGTCAACAAATCTTCAACAAAGCAGGAAAGAATATCCAAAGGAAAAAAAGACAGTCTCTTCAACATATGGTGTTGGGAAAATTGGACAGCCACATGCAGAAGAATGAAACTGGACCATTTCCTTACACCACACACAAAAATAGACTCCAAATGGTTGAAAGACCTAAACGTTGAGACAGGAGTCCATCAAAATTCTACAGGAGAACACAGGCAGCAACCTCTCCGACCTTGGCTGTAGCAACTTCTTACTACACATGTCCCCGGAGGCAAGGGAAACACAAGCAAAAATGAACTAGTGGGACTTCATCAAGATAAAAAGCTTCTGCGCAACAAATGAAACAATCAACAAAACTAAAAGGCAACCTATGGAATGGGAGAAGATATTTCAAGCCACATATCTGATAAAGGGTTATTATGCAAAATCTATAAAGAGCTCATCAAAATCAACACCCAAAAAACAAATAATCCAGTTAAGAAATGAGCAGAAGACATGAATAGACATTTTTCCAAAGAAGACATCCAGATGGCTAACAGACACATGAAAAGATGCTCAACATCACTCATCATCAGGGAAATACAAATCAAAACCACAATGATGGGGCACTCGGGTGGCTCAGTCGGTCAAGTGTCCTACTCTTGGTTTCGGCTCCGGTCATGATCTCAGGGTTGTGGGACTGAGCCCCACACGGGGCACGGTGCTCAGCAGGGAGTCTGTTTGAGATTCTCTCCCTTTCCCTCTCCTTCCCACTCGTCCCTCGTCCCTCTTCCCCACTCAATATTCGCTCTCTCTCTAAAATAGATAAATAAAATCTTAAAAAAAAAAAATCAAAACCATGTACCTCAGACCTGTCAGAATGACTAAAATTAACAACACAAGAAACAACAGGTATCAGCGAGGATGCAGAGAAAGGGGAACCCTCTTGAACTGTTGGTGGGAATGCAAACTGGGTGCAGCCACTCTGGAGAAAACAGTATGGAGGTTCCTCAAAAAAATAAAATTGAATTACCTTACGATCCAGCAATTGCACGACTAGGTATTTACCCAAAGGATACAAAAAAACAGATTCAAAGGGGTATATGCACCCCGATGTTTACAGCAGCATTATCAACAATAGCCAAACTATGGAAAGAGCCCAAATGTCCATCAACTGATGAATGGATAAAGAAGATGTGGTACACATACACACACAGACACACACGCACACACACAGAGCCCAGAATATTACTAAGCCATCCAAAAGAATGAAATCTTGCCATTTGCAATGACGTGGATGGAACTAGAATGTATTATGCTAAGGGAAATAAGTTAATCACAGAAAAAAAAGTACCATATGATTTCACTCATATGTCGAATTTAAGAAACATAACAGGTGAACATATGGGAAGGAGGGAAGGGAAAACAAATCATAGAGATTCTTAACAACAGAGAATAAACTGAGGGTTGGTGGAGGGAGGTGGGGGGGAGGGGCTAGATGGGGGATGGGTATTAAGGAGGGCACTCGTTGTGATGAGCACTGGGTGTTGTATGTAAGTCATGAATCACTGAATTTTACTCCTGAAACCAATATTACACTATATGTCAACTAACTAGAAAGTAAATAAATATTGAAACAAACGCCCAAATTCTGAAGGATCTGGACAACACATGATATAGTAGAACTATTTTGTCCCCATAACCTAAAACTGTATTACTCTTACTACTGTATATTCCCATGAAACCTAAAACCTGTAATTATATTGGACTTTTCCAGCACTCACGTGATAGTGTTGCTACATATATTTAAAAGCACAAACTCAGGGTGCCTGGGTGGCTCAGTCACTTAAGCATCTGACTTCAGCTCAAGTCATGATCTCAGGTCCTGGGACTGAGACCCACATCGGTCTCCACACTCAGCGGGGAGTCTGCTCGTCCCTCTCCTCTCCCTCCACCCCTGCCTGCCCCTTCTAATGAATAAAATCCTTTCAAAAAAATAAAAGCACAAACTCTATAGCAACTAATTACATGAAGGCAATTTAAATGAGCTCCTGGTAACTATTCACTTAGGAACGTCTATAGATAAAACACAAACTGTGCCTTTAAAAAATGCATTTAGGGCGCCTGGGTGGCTCAGTTGGTTGAGCGACTGCCTTCGGCTCAGGTCATGATCCTGGAGTCCTGGGATCGAGTCCCACATCGGGCTCCCTGCTCAGCAGGGAGTCTGCTTCTCCCTCTGACCCTCTTCCCTCTCGTGCTCTCTATCTCTCATTCTCTCTCTCTCTCAAATAAATAAATAAAATCTTTAAAAAAAATAAAAAATGCATTTAAACAGAATATGCTTGACAGGTACAAGTTTTTAAAAATCTTTATGAACAAATCAGTCTTCAGATACAGTATAGTGACAGGAGGTGGTGCACACTACTGTAATTATAACTATTGCATACAGATGTAGTATGTGGCATTCACACCATTACGGTCACTGAAAAAACCCATTTGTTCCTGCTTCTTTCATCTGGATATAAAAATGTAATGAACACGTAAATGAGCTTGGCCTTTAATTGCCAAATTTGGCATTAACGAATTTGGTATGAAATGAATACACAACTGCTTGTCCAGAAAAAAAGATCTTGAGAATTAAAAATCAAATGTGCATACACTTTAAGATTTAAGCATCTGAGTAACTTAGTTCATTTCAATTAATACTTACCTTGAACATTTAGCACCCTTTCTACATTAACATCAGATAATCTCTTTTTTCGAAGTTCAGCACGTATCCTAAACACTTGATCGGCATATGGAGTCACCACACCAATACTGCCATCATCCAGCTTCCCCCACGCGACTGGCCACTTCCTTCTCAACTCTTCCACACGTTCCACCACTTCGAATACCTTTAAACAAACATATATGTGCATATTAAAGATAGCGTAACTGAAGCAAATGTATAAAGGATGCCATTTTACCAAATGTCATTTAAAAACTACCTCTAAATAGGAGTAATGCTTTGCTGAAACAAACAAAGGGAGAAAAATTTTATGTACATTTCAAACAGTAAAATTCTACCCAAGTAAAATGCACCCAGGGAAAACATGAATCTCAGCAACAACCTAATGGGCAAATGGCCTTCACCCTTCATCCATCCTCCATTCTTAAATGGGGACAGGTTCAATTTCCTATGTGGGGAGGAGGACAAAGATAGGGCCATGAAACTGGCAACCCCATCTAGGGAGTCAGGGAAGCAATTCCCCACATTCCAGGATTTCTCAGTCCATTCACTCGATACGAGGCCAGTGAAATGAACAGCCAACTGAAAGATTTCCTAGAGTCAGTGCCACCATTAAGTCTCAGCAGTATAAGATCTAGCATTGTCACCGTCCCCCACTGATGCAACCAAGCAAATCAGCCAACAGCTAACATAACCACAGTTGGGACTAAGACAAATCTGGATTGGAGAGACACTTTGACAATTCACTGCCTCCTAGTAATACAAGTTTGCCCAAGCCATTTAATTAACCTTACAATAAAGTAACACCATATTCTACCCAACTGAATTTATTCAATCTATTTTAATACAACGAATTGATCAAAGTTTCAATGCTTGGAGCAGTGGGGGGAACAATGATTAATAAAACATGTTCCCTGCCTGCTGAGAGATTGCCGTATATTTAGAAAACAGATTCCATATATATGTATGTATGTATAGTCCATATATATATGAAAACGGTAGGCTCAATAGAGGGTCAGGCAAGACTCTAGGGGCATAGAGAAGAAAGTTGTTCTTTTTTGTTTTCTTAAGAGTTTATTCACTTATTTAAGAGAGAACGTGCGCACTCACGAGCAGGGGGAAAAGCAGAGGGGGAAAAGCAGAGGGGAAGGGGAAGGAGGGGAAAAGAATTTCAAGCAGACTATGCGCAGAGCCCAGTGTGGGGCTCAATCTCACAACCCTGAGATCAAGCCTTGAGTCAAAACCGAAGGTCAGAGACTCAACCAACTGAGCCACTGAGGCGCCCTGAGAATAAAGTTTTTTAAATGTATTTTAAATAACATTATTTAATATTTGTTAATAATATGTACTTATATTTACAATGTAAATATACTTAATAAAATTTGACAGTATTTTTATTCCTTTCAAGAACTTGAGGGTTATCAGCTAGGATTCAGTTCTCACTGCCAGATACAAACTCAATGAATGACAGAGGTACTACAGTCTCCCTACTGTCACAATGATTTAACATCAAGTGCTTCAGATACATAGACTGCCCAAGGGTTCTGAAGAGTAAACTGGACTGAAGGCACGGCGCTCTCACTAGAAGGAACAAGAAAGGTGGGCCTGAATCTACTGCAATAAAGAATAAGAAAGAATAAGAAAAACCTATCTTAACCCATTTTGTTAAATATGGGGGTAGATGAAAGTTGGGGAGACACCACTACTGCCCACCCCACCCAAACACACACAAAGAGTTCCTATCACTAAGCAATACAAAACCATTTCTCCACCTCATCCCTCTGTGAAGGGATGCTTAAAACTGAAGTCAAAATACATAGACTTGGAATGGTGATATAAGGCGCTTGGGGAAACCTCTCCCAGACAGACATCTATTAAGCGGTCAAAATTAGCAGACTAAGTCTCTGGAGATTGATCAAAAACTTTATAAGAAATTGAGAAGCATTTATTCAACAAAGTGTACAGAAACTCAGTAAGAAGAGGGAGGCCAGGGCATTCAAGCTAGGTACTGCACCCATCCCCACACAGCTCTTACAGAAAGGCTATCTCAGCAGCTGAGAGGCAGTTCCCCTCTCCCCTTGCTCCCTGGGATGAAAGAGTTACTCCAGGTGGTTTGGGCAGCTGGTGAGCATCAGATCCCATTTTCCACAGCTCCATGCCACAGAAGACCTATATTGAACAGTTAACAGCATTTGATTTTCTTATACTGCCTTCTAACTACAGACCTCTGATCAATTTTTAAAAGGAAAGATGAATTACTGTTACATAATAAGACCCATTTCTTTGTAAATAAAATGAGTAAAGCACGGGACTCAAGAGAAGAAAGGGAAATGGAGATCACAGATCAAGACCCATTCCTCTAATGACCAACCAAGCATACCCCCTCCTCTGGGCTTCCTGAAGTCCAGAACTCCACTCCCTTGTGACAGTCAGAACCTAACCCCAGAGTCTCTGACCTACTGGCCCTTAAAGACTTCACCAGGTTTTTGTCTGCTACCTGACCATTTACTCACATTCTCTCTAAACTTAGAAAGTCAGAAACGATAAGAGAACCATAGAGGTTATCCAAAATGGCTTAGCAACACTGTCATCTGGGCCTGTATAATCTCTCTGGAGCACAGGATTCTGCAATTCAAGTCTTACTCATTTAAAATGATAACTCATTTGAGGGGTGCCTGGGTGGTTCAGTCGTTAAGTGTCTGCCTTCGGCTCAGGTCATGGTCCCAGGGTCCTGGGATCGAGCCCCGCATCAGGCTCCCTGCTCCGTGGGAAGCCTGTTTCTCCCTCTCCCACTCCCCCTGCCTGTGTTCCCTCTCTTGCTGTCTCTCTCTCTCTGTCAAATAAATAAAAAATAAAATCTTTAAAAATAAATAAATAAAATAATAACTCATTTGAGTATGTACTATAGTATATGTTAGTTAGCTAATAATAATAATTATATGAAAATAATATTGGCTTTTCTTTTAAACAAAGTCACGTATTTTGTATTTTGTCATAAGAAATGTAAATCAAGGAGTGCCTGGGTGGCTCAGTCGGTTAAGCATCTGCCTTCAGCTCAGGTCATGATCCCAGGGTCCTGGGATCAAGCCCCACATCGGGCTCCCTGCTCAGTGGAGAGTCTGCTTCTCCCTCTCCCTCTCCCTCTGCCTCTTCCTCTTCCCCTGCTTATGCTCTCTCTTTCTCTCTCTGTCAAATAAATAAAAAATCTTAAAAAAAAAGACATGTAAATCAAATATAATCAAAATGTAAATCAGTTTTTGTTTCCCACAGGAGACTGATCTTAACAAATCAACGTAATACAAAAAGAATAAACTGTACATGCTATTTGAATGTAAATGACATACAATAGGATGTCCACCCAAAATCGTAAATAAACAGTCAACAAGAATAGACCATGTGACTGTGAAAATGTCAATAATCTGCAAAAGAACTAAGGTACCTCTGCATTATTATAAAAAGCTGTGCTATTTTTTTCTTGTACATCTTCCCCTCGTGCTGTAAAGAAAGTTAGTGGGTAGAAATCCTTGTGTGCTGGTTGCTTTCCACTGGCCATCAGTTTGCCCTCATAGAAGAGCTCAGAGGTGTAACTGCCAAAAAAAGACCAAAATAAGTAAATAAATAAATAGTGATTTATTATCAAAATTAACTTTACCCATAAGAAAAAAAATTATATTCATAATAAATTATACTCAGTTCTAATAATGTTGCTTTATGTCCATGATTAATTTTAATTCAAACATCTAACACCTATGAGGGCAAGACTGTCCCCAAAATTAATCACAGCAATAACAACAGAGTAGGCTCCTGGTATACCATTGCTAAATGAATCTGGTCAGATATAAAGCCAGAATATAGAAAGAAAAGGAAGAAATGACAACAGTCAATACTAGATAAGAATCTTGCTCTATGAGGAAATTGCTAGCTATTTTCCTGGCTAATACATATTTTTATTTATATGGATCATTTACTTACACATGCAAACACAAAGATATATAGACACTGAAACACATATAACCGAAAAACATTCAAGTCTTCAGCTGCTAAAAGAATACTTTTTACTGATGAAAAATACTAAGTACTTGATTCATTACTGACTGCAGCAAATGACTGGCAACAATAAAGAGAACCACATTTTGAGAGACTGATAAAAGCTATAGTTAAATCTAAATTTATTTTTGTAACTACTTTATTGTTTTCAGAGAAACCTAAAAATGGTTTTCACTGACTAACATAATCAATATTACTAAATTATACTAAACTTTAAAAAACCAAGTTTTTGGTGGGGTAGTGACGGGAAAGGAGCACAATCGGACTTTCCAGAGTGCTGCTAGTGTTCTGTTTCTTCATCTGGAGGCCGGGTTACATAGGTATGTTCAATTTGTTACTGTTCATTGAGCTGTCACTTATGATATTTTTACTTTTATAGATGCATACTGTATTTAACAGAAACCTTTAAAAACTTTATGACTAAGTTTCATGGTTTCTCCTTCCTTACTTGCTTCCTCCCTTCTTTCCCTACTTTGAAAACAGATTCCTTATATAACACAGCCAGACATAAAAGAAACTACTATGTGTTCTGTCAATATATCTGTTTATTACATCATGTAGCTTTACATATATATTACATATTCAGTCACAGAAAAACATCATAACTGGTAGAAACTAAAATTTTAGTTTCCAGGATTGCCTATTTTGTGAAAAATTACAGCTGACCTTTGAGGTACTCTTTTTCAGAAATAAAATTTAACATAATTTGCAATGCCAGGGACACCACATAACTGTGCTGGGTATAGTCTGTCCCTCATACCAGTGCCATATAGAATTCCCACCCACCAGACTGCAGGAAGTGCGATACAGAAGGGGCAGTTCACACCTACTTGATGATAGCTTCATGGGAGCGGTAGTTCTCACATAGGAGGATCCTACATGGAAACTCGGCAGGGTAATGCTCATAGAGTCGATCAAGTAATGAAACATGAAGGTTTCTCTCCCTGGCAAACTCGCTGTAAACAAAAGGACTGAGCTGTAACAGACAAACATACAGAGAAAATTTAACCAAATACGCAAGTAGCACTTTTTTAACCTACTTCTAAAAAAATCCACTACGCTGAAACCTCTGATGTACTAAATCTCAACATGCTGAATGCTGGAATAAGCAGAATCAAAAATCCTTTCTCGGAACAATTTTACTACTATAAAGAACTAGGCTAAAATTTCTAACTTTTTGTTTCAGTATATCAACAGCAGCATAGAGTTTCTACACACAGATTAACAAAGAGCTCCTCCAACACAATGATAAATAGCTATTACGTCACTAACTTTCAGAGATGCAACCCACTGCATCACCGGGGTAGTTAATCAGTTATTTCACTAAAACTGATCAACTATTTAAAAGGGTGAGCTAGAAGGATATACAGCCTATGACTAAAAAATTTAATTTAATAATCAGTAAAATAATGCTTTTTATCTCATAAAGTATAAGGGGCCATTCTTCATCATACCTTTGATGACTAAAGAACAAAATTAAACTACTTTTGGCAAAGAAACAATAACAGAATTTCTTCCTCTACATTCACCTCTTTCCTGGATGTCATCAGAGCTACAATACTATATAGGTTCAACCTCAATTATAGCAGAAGAGAAAGAACTTCAAACTGCAACTTTGTAAAACAAGGAATAATGCAAAAATTCTATTTCTCTTTCCTTAGGTATTGAAATACATAAAATCAAACACATTCTTTGAGATGTGGGCTATCATTCTGAATTAAGTATACTCTGTTTCCGGGGCGCCTGGGTGGCTCAGTCGGTTAAGCGTCTGCCTTCGGCTCATGTCATGATCCCAGGATCCTGGGATCAAGCCCCGCATCGAGCTCCCTGCTCGGCGGGGAGCCTGCCTCTCCCTCTCTCTCTGCTGCTCCCCCTGCTTGTGCTCTATCTCTCTCTCTCTCAAATAAATAATAAAGTCTTTAAAAAATTTTTAAAAAAGTATACTGTTTCCTATGATGGCAAAAAAATCAACCCTTCATGAAAACACATGCTAGGGACAAGAACTGGGGAACTGTAGGAAGGATAACTTAAATTTATTTTCTAAAGAAAAGTAAAAGTCAAATAGTCACACTCTAGAAAGCTCATCTTCAAATTAAAAACATGAAAATTATAACACTGACAGACTCATTCATTCCACTCCCTATCCAAAGAAGGAAAAAAAAAAACAGTGGGATAGTAATTTTCCTTCTGAAAAAGCAGTACTTTTCATTATTTTTTTTTAAGATTTTATTTATTTATTTGACAGAGAGAGAGAGAGAGAGAGACACAGCGAGAGCAGGAACACAAGCAGGGGGAGCGGGAGAGGGAGAAGCAGGCTTCCCGCGGAGCAGGGAGCCCGATGCGGGGCTCGATCCCAGGACCCTGGGATCATGACCTGAGCCAAAGACAGACGCTTAACGACTGAGCCACCCAGGTGCCCCAGTATTTTTCATTATTAATACAGAAATATTTAAAGTACTTAAACTGTAATACATGGCACAATCTCATAGGATGTTTTAGAAAATAGAATATTAAACATCAAAATATAATTAGTAGTTCCTTCAGTATGATGACTCAGAGGGCGCATACCTGCATGTGGTCACCAGCCAAGACAATCCGAGTGTTTTTAGTTGCTAACGCTAGAGGCATAATGGTTTCACACTCCATGGCCTGGGCAGCTTCGTCTAATAAAATGTGTGTAAAAAACCCTACAAAGTACAGAAATAAACACAGTAAAGCAACACACAGCAGCAATAAAAGCAGCAGTACTTCTTTCCTTTTCTGCTAAGAGTTCAGCGTGCTGATTTCAGAGTTACAAGTACTTGTAATGCCAATCCTCAATTTAGAAAATTGTTAATTTAAATCATTATTTAAAGAACGGAGATGAAAAGAAAGAACTCTTCTACCCAACAATAGATACAAAATGGCATCTGGTGCTAAGGACCCCCAGAGGAATAGCTGACTGAGTACATATAAAAAAGATGTTTGAAGTACAAGATAGCAGCTTTTCACCAAAAAAGAAGAGCTGGCAACTAGACACTGATAGTCCTTTCATTATTTATGCGATGAAATATCAAAAATAAAACAATGGCAGTTTATAAGTAACTTCAGCTTTACCATGCATATTAAACATTAAAGAAAATCATACCTGAAATCTAATATAAGGGAGAAAGTTATAATCCAACCTTGACTGAAACAAAGGGGCTATCAATTAACAAATTCACTAATTTGATTATTTAGGGGTTTGTGTGTGTGTGTGTGTGTGTGTGTGTGTATAAAATTATTTAGTCTAAGAGCCTACCCTGGCTGAAAAACAGAATCTCCAGTGTGCAAAAAATGACAGCTAGATGTCAAGCATCTAGAGTAGGAGGCATCTCACATCTTGAGTGCTATTGCCCCTCACACTGGGGCACAAGATTCTGTGTACAAAAGGGAGGAGAAAGTCCTTTTGCCCTTAAGTGGGGGGAAAGAGGCAAAAATCTCACGGTCTCTATGTGAAGAAGGAAAAAGTTCTCCCCTATGGCCAATACACCGAGTTAGGAAGAAGGGAGCCTTCTTTTTACTAGCATAGCAAAAGAACAAAATAGTGTCTCAACAGAATGACAAAGTTATAAAACTCTCTGGATTAATTAGCCTCCTGTGAGGAGGGCCCAAGAACTGAACCTCTATTGCTATCCCTATTTCTATGAATATCAGCAAGTTCTAAACCATTTTTTATGCAACTCTGTAATGCAACTTGTTTTTAGGTTGGGAACCTTCTAAATCTTACTAACTGGCAGTAATAACCACCATCATCATCCATTCATACAAATGGTTATGGTTGATAGTGTATTAATAACTGTTGTCTATTTCCTGACAGTGGCCTAAACATGATAGACGCTTGTACATTTTTCTCCCTGTTAAGGAGACTTTGTGTTTTTTGTTCTACAAAACTAATTACTTGAAAACTGTTTTCATTAGATAACACTTTAACTAAATAGAGTTAGGCTTGAATCAGGAACTGGATATATCATGAAACTGTTGTAACTATTGCTTAAGCTAGTACAGGTGACTTGAATTAACCAAACTGATTTAGCCTGAGCCTTGGTTTTCTTATCTGTCAAAGAACCATCCCTCCAGAGGACTGATACGAGAATTAAATGAAATCAAATATAAGCAATGCCCAGAACAAAGCACATAGGCAACTTCTAAGTGTTCTTCCATATTCTTGCTCTTCAAAGCCATTCTTCACTTCCCCACAAAACTACATTGTTAGGAGGTTTGGGCATTTCATCTAAGTGGCAAATAGGCAGAGTATAACCATGAAGTAATGAGACTGATTGTTAAATAAACATACCAAAATTTACATTTCAAATAAGTGTTGTTCCATTCAAAGAAGTCAGTTGGGAGGAAATAGAACTCACTCCAATGATGCAGTCACTGTTCAAAACATTTTTGAAACTCTGCTTTTGTAACTGCCCTCACCAGCCAGCTATGAACTGTATGCACAAGAAAATAAGTCTCATTACATGAGAGGCACGTCTCTCTCTCTTTTTTTTACCCCTAATGGTATTGCTCAGTTTGATCACCTACCTTATTTACCAGATATGTCTCAGAAAGATTTTGAAGCTTTTCTAAAATTAAATCTACCCTCAAAAAAGAAAGTTTGGCCACCATTCATTCATTTTCACCTACCTTATTTACCAGATATGTCTCAGAAAGATTTTGAAGCTTTTCTAAAATTAAATCTACCCTCAAAAAAGAAAGTTTGGCCACCATTCATTCATTTAAGATAAACAGAGGTTTATCAAGGGCCTCCAGGTGTCTATACCCTGGGCCAGATGCCAGGAATTCAAGGTGAAGAGAACAGTATCTACCTTCCAGGGACTCGAATGTTCAAAAGAATCTGTCACTGGCTCTGAAAGCAATTCCAAAAGGAGAGAGCAAAAAAGTGTTGAGCAATGTCAACCATTATAATACGGCAGTAATAAATGAATATTCTTCCAAAGCAAGTACCTTAAAGTGGTACCACTTTTTGATGGTGAAGTTCTGCCATACTTATCAGAATTACTTGTCATCTTTTATCTGTACTTCATATTAGTTTGATTTTACAGATTCCTGTACTTAAATATAATAATCTTAATAGCATGTCTAAAAAAAAAAACCTATCATGATTGCTGTCTCTACACTGTATAACACAAAAGCATTTTAAAGCAAAAACTTGAGAAAATTGTAAAAAACAAAACAAAACATCAACACTATCCAAATTTGAATTTTTCACATGACCAATAGTAAGTAAATACAATCTGATAAGAGAACAAACAGAATAGTGGTCACTCAAATGTCTGAACTAGGGGTTGACTTTTTTTTTTTTTTTTTTTTTGGTAAAGGGCCAAACAGTATATACTTTGGGTTTTGTTGGCCATACAATCTCTGTTGCACCTATTCAACTCAGCTACTGTGGCACAAAGGCACCCATGCATAATAAATAGGTAAATAAAGGGGCATAGCTGTGTTCCACCCAATAAAACTTTATTTACAAAAACAGACAACAGGCCAGATTTGGCCCACAGGCTATAGTTTGCCAACCCCTGGTCTAAACTGAATGCAGAAACCCTGTGCATTCAGAGACACCCTATCTGTGTCTTGAGTCAGCATACCAGGTTCCAGGTCCAACTGACAGAGGTACTGGGAGGTATTCAATGTAACAACAACCACTCGGTGTTTAAGAATATCTTCTTTCTGTGGCATCTGAAAGGTGGAATGTGCGCTCGAGATCAAACAGTACTGATGCACAACTGGGTGGACAGTCTTTACCCAGCGATTTCTGAAATATACCCTGTAAGAGAAGATAATATTTCCTATTTATATTTATTAACATTTTAGCAGCATAATCAAAAAATTAACATTATTACGTTAATACTGCCATATCTGGAAATTAACAAATAAATCTGGTGACCATTAACACTCTACTGAATTAGAATTTAACATACAACTGTGACTATGCCCTCCCAAAAAAGGATTCAAACAGAAAGCATATGTACTATCATAAAATAAATATCTAATTATTTTTAAGTGTTCAGATTAATCTTACAACAGAATGACAAACAGTTTCATAAGCACTATAGTTTTTTCAGTTCAAAACATTCCCATTTGGGAATTACTTTTTTTCTAGAATATTCTTACAAAAATATACTTAATTCATATTGTAATTATCTATGCTAAAAAAAAAACCCGTGAATTACACACCTACAACAGAAACTTGAAAGTTATCTGCATTTCACCTCAACATTCTTACACCCATGTTTAAATCTAAAGGAGATTTACCTAAATTATCTAAAGCAAATTTAAAAATAAATTTAAATTTCGGACAATCAGAAAAATGTTAAGAAAGACCATCTCTTCCATTAATTGCAAAAGAAAAATATTAATAGGCCTCATGCAATAGACTACTAAAATGGTACAGAAACAAGGCATCCATCCATCCACCCACCCACCCATCTCTAACCCACTCACATATAACAAAGATCTATTGGGTGTCTACTATGCTCCAGCACAGAGACAAATCACATGGTTTCCAAGCTTTCATAAAGGCTTTGATTTACTCTGATTTTAATGGAAAGCTATCAGAGAGTTCTGACAGGGCAGTCACATGATCTGACATGTTGGTACAGGACCACTCTTTCTCTGGACAGAATATATAGTTTGGGGAGCTGGGAGGGGGAGGGCTGGACAGTGGTGTGCTGGTAAATGTTGAACAACCAGCTTAGAGGGTAGGGGTGGAGCTGATCCGTAGTGTTTGCTGACTTCTGTGGTGTAAAATCCACTACCATGGCCAATTTCAACCACCTCAAGGTGAAGCTAGTAAAAAGAAAAAGTTTGATCGTTAAGCCTATATTTCCTTAAAAGTACAATATTCTGGTCCTGACTTCAAAGTTTAAATACTTTCTTGGTGCTTCCATTTTGTGCAACATTTAAGGTAGACACTGTCTATAAGATTATTTAAAACACAACCAACATTTTTTAAAAACTGCAGAATAGTGACAAGTGACACCTTCAAGCTCATAGTATGAAATGTGACACCAATTAAGTAATTTACATATTTCTAGGAACAAACCATCCACAGATCCCACATGAATTACAATTGTTAGAGTAGGAGATTGCCTGAAACTTTATTCATCTATTGAATTAATATAAAATAAACCCCCCAAAATGTTATCACACAAGATACTACAGAATCAGAAAGACCTGATCCCAGAATAAAATCTATTACTCTGAAGATTCGTATAAAACAACAAATACCTTCTATTTGCCCAGAAAGCAATAAATATACACTCTCTCCATAGATAACCTCTATCTACTAAGTAGTAAGTCTGCCACAACCAGATACCGATCTTCAGAACCACACACAGAAACTGTGTTTTCCTCTCTAGTCCATCGTAAGGTCTACTAATTTAAATGAAATAAGAAGTAAAAGCCAAAACGAGATATAATCTAAAATGGTTTCTAAAAGCTCCATCCCCAAATATTTTAAGCTCAACTCCTGGCAAGTAATAGAATTTTATACATTTCAACCATACGTGTGTATATTTGAACATATGTACTGCATTAAACTATTTAATATTTATGACCATTTTCACACTTTATGGCATTTACTGTGGCCCACTCTAGACTACACTAAGCAGAAGGCAAACTCTTCAACCATTGTACACCACAGAGACAGCACATCCTCAAAGTCACACGCAGACACTTAGTGCCCCCTTGTGTTCTTTCCCCTGTATCCTGGGACAGGTGAAGCTCTCCCCAGAGTGCTCAGCCATGCTAATTTCCTCTATCCCATCTCCCATACCTCTCATGTTTGTTGTCCATCCGGATAATTACAAATTAATCTGAGTAAAGATGGTACACTAATAAATTTTAATAATTCAATGCACTATCCTCCTAGGAAATACATTTACAGGTTAACACCATTCCCAAAGAGAAAAACCATGGTGAAAATATAGGACCACAAAAAGAAAAGATTTAGTAAAAGTCAAGCCTTTTCTTATTTTATTCTATTTACTAAATGAAATAACTAGAAATTTATATTTAAATACTTTTCCAGCTTTCTGACTGAACCACTCTCAAGACGTATGGGGAGGTGAGATTTTCTGCTAAAGAGCAAGTTTCTGTATCTGGGCCACTACAACTCCACATATACCCTACTGAGACGTAACTTCTTTTTCTACAATTTAGACGTACTACCTGTTGGATTATAAACTTCAAAACATAATTTTACGTGGGAAAAGTTAACCATAATGCTAGTCACATGGTAGATTGAATCAACAACAGTTCTTCAGCCCCAAATATCAAATGACCTATCATCCTAGGTCATTTGACCTATCATCCTAGGGGGCTTTACCTCATTGCTTCCAAGCCCAAGTACACCATGACAATTGAGGCTGTCACAGTTCCTACATAACACACACGTATACAAACATAAACACACACACCAACAATAAAAGCAAACGAAACACCTCCACTAAAGTAAGAACACTCATAGCAAAACTGCTACTAGCTACTGAGCTTTCACTTATGACTTAAAAAGATTAGAATCTGAAGCAAACTAGTTACTGATGAACGTATCCAGTGATAAATACCACATTTTCATTTATAGTGATTGTATATATGTGCTATTTTCTTATTAAATAAATACAACTGGATTCTACTTAAAACAATTATCTCTGCTCTAATTTATCTTCCAGAGTGAAAACAAAGTATGGCATAAAAACCTGTGTTAGCAGGCCACACCATCTTTTTCTCTTTTGTTCTTTTTAATGCAATTGTAAAATCATTCAAATGGCTTTGGTTGTGGTTATTAAGAATTAAATAGCATAATCTCATTTTTCCATGCCTGGACTCAACTAGAAATAAAAAGTTAGTGGATTATGATTCAAAAGTGTGGTTAGAAATTAATTTGTAAGCAATAATTGTACTCGAACAACACGGGGCATGACATTATTAGTTTGTAAAATGGCAAAACTAAACATTAATTCATATAACAATGAAAGCAAATGGTGTATAAACAACCATTTAATGATTCTTTATTGTTTTCTGAAGAAAAGGATTTTATTCCCCCACAATCGTATTTAAGTACATTTCATATCCATATACATTTAAGACGACCTTTCTATATCAACGTAAACTTTTGACACTTTGTCTCTTAAATGATCGCAAAAAGTTGTAAATACCAGTCATACATTTTGTTGCAGAAATCATATCAATATTTCATGCTTCTCTAAAGTGTAGCTTCTATGAAATTACCTGCATGATCACAGTCAAAGTTTTATATCTACTGCATGACTACTCTGCCATGCAAAATATGCTGGAATTTTAATTAAATTTGATTTAAACAAATCATATTTATATTATTTCATCATAGTATCTTTTAGAGGTACACATCAAAATTTGCTCAGATCGTAACAACATTTTTACATACAAAACTTAAAAAAGGATGTCTTTCTCTTTACTTAATGTTTAAGAAATGAATGCGGTCAAAGATTTTTAAATTTTTCCTTAATTTTAAATGACTGCTTCAAAAGGCATCACCTCCAAATGCCAATATACAGTTAAAGATGTTGTGTTCTTCAAGTTACTAAAATCTTTACAGACACCTTTTCTTAAGAATAATAAAGTATGATAAAGATACATAATAAAGCCTTAAAAAATACCTGAGAGGTCTTGCCTGGGGATTGCCTGCTTCTACATATGGATGTAAATAATCCTTTATGTAGAGGTCAGCAGCACTATTAGAATGGGTGCAAATGAGGATCCTGCTGAAATAAATGGTGCAAATAAAAAGAATGATAAAACACAAAACTACTCAAGCAGTATAATACCAACCAAAAGCAGTGGCCATCTTAATATCATACATTTCCCTCAACCTACTCAGCAATCTCCAACATATTACTCAATGATGTTTTCAGGAAACCATTACTCTTTAAGCTGTAAAGGAAACAAGTTCCCCCAAATTATTTTTAAATCTATCACACAGAACATTTTTTACGCACCCAACTCTTTTGGCTCTAACATATATCACAATTCCTTTTGCAGACTTGGAATTCTGATGGCTATTTAAAAGGTATCACTCTCTACACTGCCAATTTTTAAAAACAGTATGTTTTAAAAGAATTCAAATTTTAGTCCTTTGGGGCTTTGGTGTGTGTCTTTTTTTTTTCCCCCTCCCAAGCTGAATTAAAATGGTCTTGCTAGCCTTAGCTTTGTACTCACAATAAGGACAGAGGCACTTGTGCCCTAATGATGAAATCGGAGCACACATAGCACCATCTCACCTGGTCTCCTGCTGCTGGAGTATGTGCTTCACGGCCTGAGCTAGAGTGAACGTTTTGCCTGTCCCATAGGGTCCAATGATGAGAACAGGAGGCAGCTGTATTGAAAGTGGAGTTGTAATGGCCAGAACAGCCTCTTTCTGTTTTGCATTTAGCCGAGGATCCAACTGCTCATCCCACTGTCTACAGAAAATAAACATTTATTTTAAACACATGCATCTTATAAATAAACAAAACACGAGAGAATCCTAAATTTTACTGAACCATTAAAAATACTGAAGAAGCAGAGCATTACAAAAACAAATGCTTATTCTAAAACTTCTTTTCAGAAAACTACCCAACAGAGTCGGTGCAGGGTGCTTCACTATGTTAATCAAAACTCACTTTAATTACTTTGTCCTATTCCAAGTGCAAAAAAAAAGATTTTTTTTTTAAAGATTTTATTTATTTATTTGTTGGAGAGAGAGTGAGCACAAGCAGGGGGGGGGAGTAGGAGAGGGAGAAGCAGGCTTCCCGCCGAGCAGAGAGCCGGATGCGGGGCTCGATCCCAGGACCCTGGGATCATGACCTGAGCAAAAGGCAGACACTTAACAACTGAGCCACCCAGGCGCCCCTAAAAAAGATTTTGATAACTAAAGAAAGCACACACACTTCTAGTCTAGCTGCTACCAAGTCTATAAATAGTAATGGCAATGTCTCAAAAATTTAATTTCCCTCTGTTACATAAAAGGCTCAGAAAATTTTTTTTCAGGTGATAAAGAAGTATTAGTTTCTTTGCACAGCAAGTAAAATGCAAAAGGGAGACAAACCAAATTTCAAATTCTAGTCCACTGAAGCCTCTCTTTGGTGAAGTTTAAAACAAGAGGCAAAGAAAAAACCTGTATGTTCCTGGGTAAGAGATATTAAACCTTTACGAAGTTCTTAATTCAGAAAATAGCAGTTTGGTTTTTTTTTTAAAGGTATCAAAGAGGGGCAGGTGCCTGCGTGGCTCAGTTGGTTAAGTATCTGCCTTCAGCTCAGGTCATGATCCCAGGGTCCTGGGATCGAGCCCCGCATCGGGCTCCCTGCTCCGCGGGAAGCCTGCTTCTCTTCTCCCTCTCCCATTCCCCCTGCTTGTGTTCCCTCTCTCGCTGTGTCTCTCTCTGTCAAAAAAAATAAATAAAATCCTTAAAAAAAAAATAAAAATAAAAATAAAGTATCAAAGGCCAAACAATATGAAATGTTTTCTAATACTGTCCGCCATACACATAATGTACATATGTCCTATTTTTCAGGGTAGAGGGCACCTGTCATAGTAGCACAAATGGTTGCTGTAGTGTCCCTTACGAGTGTCCCTTCTATGTCTTGGCTACGTTTCGAAGATTTAAATGGACAGCAGATGCTACATGGGATCAAACCAAGTAGAGAATCACCGGCATTCTTTCCCACAACTACAATTAAAATACTAAATACTGCAACAACTATGGTAAAAATGATAGGGATGTGAACCAAAATAGGAAGGGTGTGTAAAGAGATGCTTAGAAAACTTACATTCAAAGTGCCTACAAAATAATCCTGCAAGACGAGAACGTGGTTTAGACAGGAAAATTCCATCTCTCAGCGGCTGTACTCTACAGTAATCGGAAACTAGTTATTCATGGAAAATCTTAATACTTTCAGTTTTAAAAAATTATAGCTAATGCTATATTCGGACAAATAATTTCAAACAAATGAAAGTCTCTGAGGAAATGTAAAACTACAGAAAATAAACTTTGACTATATAAACATGCCAATTCTTATTTTTTCTGAAACTTAAAATTTTTAAGTAAAAAACAAAAGAACTCTGACCAGTGGCACAAATTTCCTGGAAACCATTCACTAAAGCTCAAACTTTTTAGTTCAAAGAATCTCTCATCATTAAACAGCTTATTTACTCATAATTCTACCAGTACCTAGCAATATTCCATTTTCTGTAAAAGAGGAAATTACTTTAGGTAATCGCTAAATCCAGATCTAATATATGTGGAGAACTGTGGAACGGTTACCTCAAACCACCCATGGCATCTCCTCTGCCTTCCTCTACTACTGAGCCTAGACAGCCAGAACACTCCGTTTCTCACCCTCCTCTGCCGGAGCTCCAACTCTGGCCAATGAGCTTATAGGAAGAGGTCCCTCACAAGGCCTTCTGTTACTCAATAAAACACAAGCAAAGCCTCACTAGGAGAAAGCCCTTCTTGCTCCTCCGCCCTCCTCCTTCACCTGGCTGGAAGGAGATCCTGGTAAACAAAACTGCAGCCGCCATCTTAGAATCAAGAGGTAACAGACATCAAGAAGAAAACCACCATGCTCTAAGGTGGAGAGGAGGGGAGACCTCAGGCCTGGATGGTACTGCGGAGCCCTTGCAAGTCCTAGACCACCTAACCCCTGGGCTTCTATCTCTACTTGTTTAAGCCACAGTTAGTTCAGTAAACTGTTACTTGCATCCATACCTGACCCCAAGGGCTCCTGTATCTATACATGGACATAATGGCATGTGCATCAGGTGGTCATTTTAAGAGCAAGTGAGATAATACATGCAAGCTGTTTAGAAAAATAATTGAGCAATAAGTGCTCAATTAACGTTAGTTTCTATTACTACATTCACTGAGGATTTCAGAAAAATGACTTATTATTTGACCAACACACACTTTCAAAAACCAAAAAATGGAAGTTTTAAAAACACCTTCTAATTCTTCAAATGTGGTGACTTCAATGAACTTATAAATGAGACAAACAGTAAGTTACATATAAAAGTATAAATCTAAGACATTCATGACGAATTTATAGGTATAGCTCTAAAATACAAGATCTCTTTACTTTATTTACATAGGCCACTCTACTTTTAATCAACTGCTTCGGTATAAATAAACGCTTCAGAGGAGATCAGAAGCCATCAGTGCTGATCAGCTCTAGTGTCTGCTCACGGATGAGGAAGGCCAATGAGCACAGCTGTCTTTAGTGTAGCACCTGCTCCATCAGGGGAAGAGGACTTACAATACACACGCCAGTAAGACCCATCTCGAGTTTCACAGTTTAAAATAATATAGTCTCTTCAAGCTCATTTTGAATAAAAATTACTTCAACCCTGAACCACATTAATTCAAAGTCCTTTTTTCCCCTGGTCTAATGCATTTTTATAATTAATTTACAGACCACATGCTCGAGAATAATTTTTCTACTTCATTTATCTATCTATATTCTACCTTATCCCAGAAAAGATTTTATATGGCTAATGGTTTCTCAGTATGTTCCTCCACTCAGACACCTTTTAGTTACTATTTAAATAACAGTGGTATGGAATCTCTTCCTGCCCAAAAGTTTTCTGATACTGACATTTTCTTAGTTACTTCTGCAGTTCACACCTGCAGTCAGTGGTACTTGAATATACTGTTATATACAATATAATTTTCAGAAATAAACATATCAAATACATGCCTAAAAGTTTACTGGTATGCTCTCACACTTGAAACCCTAATTTCCTTCTTTAAACGTGAAACTCTTAGTAAGTTAAATATGTCATACGTTAATAATGTGTAAGGCTCTGTTGAGGATTTACTGATAAATGAACATAGTCTCTTCCTTCAAAGACCTCAGAGTATAATGAAAACAGGAGAAATGTACGCAAGTGACAAAAATTAATTTGAGAGAAACTGCTTGAAAGCACAAAACTGACTGAATCTAGCACACAGCAAGTACTCAAGAAATTTTTGTTGGAATAATGAAAATGGTAGGGTCAGGTTTATCTCCTTGAAGGAGAGCACTGAGCTGGACAGGACAGGTGGATCAACAGATCAATACTGAGCAAAGATTATTTCAGGGAGAGAAAATCATTTACAGATAAAAATTGGTGGAGGAGGAAACTCTGAGTCTAATGGGTAGAAAGTCTGTTTTGCAAGATGAGAAGGCTCTGGAGACTGACTGCCTGACAATGTAAGAACACTACTGAACTATATACATAAAAATAGTTTAGGGCGCCTGGGTGGCTCACTTGGTTAAGCAACTGCCTTTGGCTCAGGTCATGATCCTGGAGTCCCAGGATCGACTCCCACATCTGGCTCCCTGCTCAGCAGGGAGTCTGCTTCTCCCTCTGACCTCCCCTCTCTCATGCTCTCTCTCTCTCTCTCAAGTAAATAAAATCTTAAAAAAAAAAATAGTTTAGAGGTCAGTTTTGTGTTATGTAAATTTTACCACAATTTTTTAAAAATTTGTCAAGGTAATTCAATATGGCTAGAGCATGGGGATTTAGAGGGAAGGGGGAGGTGTCAAGTAGAAAAAAATAAATCTGAAGCTACTGTTGGAAGCCCTGTCAACTGAACTATGTAACAAGAGGTTGGTGTTCAGCTGCTCAGACTATCCACATATCAAGGAGATGCCATCAGAGACTGGTAACCACTGAAATGAAATGATTATTTTAGCAAACAAACTGTCGAAGAAATATGTGGGATGGACAAGAGAACAGAGATACAGACTGCAGGACAGAAGACCGACTAGAAGGCTCCTTCCACAGTCCAGCTCTAAATTACACACTGGCTGTAAGAACGGAAGGAAGGGAAAGGGTGCAGAGAAGGTGAATCAAATGGGAACTGAGAAGACTGGAGTTTTGCAATTAGTAGACCACTGATTACTTTCAGGAAAGTGAGGAAGTGGAAAACGGAGATCACAGGATTAGTATAAAGAACAGCAGAAATACATAAACTACTCCTGCTTGAGAATTTTGGCAATAAAAAGAATGGGAAAAAGTAAGGGTAAGCGAAATTAAGGAGAAATGATTCGGGTTTTCTGTTGTAAGGCGTCTTGTGCTTTGTTCTGTTTTTAGAACCGAAAGAAATGGAATGTGAGGGGAAGAGAATTTGCCACTTCTAGGCCTGGCCCATAAAACCTTCCTACGTGATCCCCTGTGCTCATTCTTCCCCTGCCTGCCAGCTGGATGTCAACACACAGGGTGAAACCGTGGAAACCACTTACTGAAGATACCAGGGCCTCCATCAGTGGTGGAGCAGGGCCACCTGACCATGACTGGATTGACACGAGTGATAAATAGATAACCTTCTATTGTGTAGAGCCACTGAGATTAAAAAAGAAAGAAAGAGAAGGTGCAATGAGCAGCGCAGCAGCAGGGGCCAAGAAGATAAAAACTCAGGGAAAAGGACGACAAGAAAGATGCAGTCATACAGCCTTCACAGTTAGTCTGGAAACAAATCAGAAGTACCTTTATAAAGACACGAATATGTACCAAAGTGAATTTAAGCAGGAAAATATTTATACAACCATTAACCTGAGAGCAGTTTCTGAAATACCATCTTCTATGATACTTTTTCCATTTTCCGAAATTATAAAAAATGTCTTCTATATTCAAAAATCATTTTATATGAACTGTTTGAACCACATTAAAAGGTCCTAATTTTCCCATTCAACTTATACTTAAGAAATATTCCTGAATCGCTTGGCATTCTATCAAATTAAGGCTGTTGAGAAAAGCAATAGAACTCATTTAGACTCTGAGGACAAGTGAAGAAAGTACATGATGAACCTCAAATGTTTCCTTTTAAGGGCTCTTTCACTCTCCTTTCTCCACTAACACATGGCTCCTGGAGAGTATGGCAAATCTGCGTAAAAAACTGTATTAGCGTTATTCAATTTCACATTAACATAACTTCCTTTAGTGAGACAGCTCCTTTTCTGTACCTGTTGGGACTCCAAGGTATGGTTGGAGTCATAGTGGTGTCTGGAAACAAAACCCCGTTGTCCTTGATCCTGTCTAGCGCATAATGCATTTCACAGAGGGGTAATCGATTTAATTGAAACTGAAGTTCAACCTGAAACAAAAAATAAAATTTTTTTTTAAAAATGCATGAATGTAAACATCAATGCTTGCAGCTTGCTAAAAATTTTTGTGGAGATAACCTTTTGGGAAGCCAAGTTTAGAGAGTCCTTTAAGTGCAATGCTATTTTAATAACAATTATTATGGCTAATATTTGCTTTGTTTACTTACTGTCAGGCATTGTAATATACACTTTACATAAATTACCTCATTTACTAGTACTAATGATATATGTATCATTATTAACCTCATTTGACATCTAAAGGAAATGAAGTACTTGTGAATCACTTAATATCTAAATCAAGGTTATCTGGTTCCACCATATTCCTATGAATAATATACTTGATAAAATCAATAGAACATCTGTGAAATATCATCTCTTGAGTGATAAAAACCAGGCCTAGGACACTGTATCAATTTACTATGAATAAATAATAATCACCAAATCTTATGTTTAAAAAGAAAAATAAATAAAATTTTAAAGAAGATTGGCTTTCCAGTTAAATATGGCAGAGTGAACACACAGTTCACCTAAGAAACCATAAAGAGAGGAGAACACAAGCAGATACAACCTGAGATAAGAACTGTCCCTGGATGCAGCTTAGTCTCCTTTCATCTATTCTTCTATTGCTGATTTAAAATTCTAATCAGAAAGTTTGGCCCCGTATAAGACTGGAACATTGTAGATGTTACTTAATTATCGAGTTGGGTTTCTCTGAGAGTTACCAGGGGTCTAATTCTCCACCCACCTCTATAACACTTCAAAATCAACTGCACTTCTGGTTTGAGCAGAAGCTAGAAAACCAAACCAGAACTGTATCAGCTGACAAGGATATATAGACAACCATAATTGAGTTGCCTCACTTCAAAACACACCTGTGTGTCATAATCAGGCCGAAGATTAAGTTCTTCACAGCATTCCCTGGATATCCTTAAAAATATATATTCTTTTGTTTTTTCTTCAATAGTAGCTTCATAAACCTTCTCTTTGGTTCCCTGGGTCTGTACTAACTTCTCTTTAGGGACTGGTAATAAATAAACAGCATTGACTTTGGTCATCACCAGCCGTCCAGCCAAAGTATCTTCAGAAAGTGTTTCAGTAAGCTTAAAGCGACCAAAAAGTTGTCCATTCTGAGCGTACTTTGCACCTCCAGAAACTCCAGTGAGCATGAAACTTGCCAGAATCTGCAACTGCACTTTAAGGTTGAACCTAAATCAAAAGTAGAAAATGAGTCTGAATGTTTTACATCAAAAACAAAAAACTAGAAGAGCAGAACAAAATAAATCAAATTTAAACATACAGAAAATTAAAACTTCATCAATTCCACTCCATCGAGCTACAAACCATATATTACCTTTCTGCCATTAATCCAAGCTGGAAAAAACAAAACTTTTTTTAAGTCAATAAACTCTCACCCAAGTTACATAAAGGCATATACTTAGTTGAGTTGAAGAAAACATTTTTAAAAAACCTGAACATTTAAGGGGCGCCTGGGTGACTCAGTCGGTTAAAGCGGCTGCCTTCAGCCCGGGTCATGATCCCAGGGTCCTAGGATCGAGCCCTGAGTGGGGCTCCCTGCTCAGTGAGGAGTCCGCTTCTCCCTCCCCCTCTCCCCCCAGCTTGTGCTCTCTCTCTCGCTCACTCTCTCTCTCAAATAAATAAAAAATCTTAAAAAAAAAATAATAAAAATAAAACCTGAACATTTAAAATAAAGCTAAGTATGATATTTTCATAAAATGAAATATTATTGGGGGGCCTGGGTGGCTCAGTCATTAAGCGTCTGCCTTCGGCTCAGGTCATGATCCCAGAGTCCTGGGATCAAGCCCCACGTCGGGCTCCCTGCTCAGTGGATAGGCTGCTTCTCCCTCTCCCTCTGCCTGCCGCTCTGCCTACTTGTGCTCTCTCTCTCTCTGTCAAATAAATAAATAAAATCTTTAAAAAAAAAAAAATTAAAATGAAATATTACTACAGGTTAATTAATACAGAAGTCTGCTTGAACACACCCTGGGACCATTAAAACTTTACAATCCCCTAAAGCCAGAAGGAAATGCAGTGTTGAAACTACAACAGACCTTCATTAAACTGAGGCTTTCCAAGTACATCTTACCAAAAGATTCAAACTGTGAAATTTTTCTTTCAATGCTGTTAACAAGTAACATCCAGAATAAACTTTTGTTCATGACTACACCGAGACAGATCCCATTCAGGAATTAAGGAAAGAGGAGTTCAGCACTAGCTTGTCAGTCAATGGCTGGTGCACTCACTTGCACTCACTCCCGTGTGTGCCCATGAGTGTGAGAGAGAATGTGTGTGTCGAACAAGTACGGAGAATCAAGATCCACACGGGCAAGAAATAGGACGTGGAAGAAAGATTTAAACTAACGAACAGCCCTCTCCTTTGCCATTCTGAAACAGTGCGGTGAGAGATAAGACAAAGCAGTAAAAGAGGAAAGGGAACATTTTCTACTTTGTCTTCAGAAGATTTAAAATTATGTGAATGAAAAAAAATTAAGTTCTTTTAAAATCTAAATATCCATTTGTGGAAAAGGCCACTTTTTAACAGGACTACTGAACTGTCTTCAAATCTTCTTTTTGTATGTAAGATGCTAAGAATATCTTATAAATTCTTAAGGAAAAAAAACTTTTTTAAAATACTGTAAAATTCCTTAATGGAAACATCTGTTTACAATATTAGGAAAACAAATCTAAAACACCGTATTAAGGGGTGCTAGGTAGCTCAGTTGGTTAAGCGTCTGCCTTCGGTTCAGGCCATGATCTCAGGGTCCTAAGATCGAGTCCTGCATCAGGCTCCCTGCTCAGCAGAGAGTCTGCTTCTCCGTCTCCCTGTGCCTCTCCCCCCACCCTCATTTTCTCTCCCTCTCTCTCTCAAATGAATGAATAAAATCTTAAAAAAAAAAAAATTAAAATGTTGAATGTGGGCGCCTGGGTGGCTCAGTTGGTAAGCGACTGCCCTCAGCTCAGGTCATGATCTCAGGGTCCTGGGATCGAGCCCCACATCCGGCTCCCAGCTCGGCAGGAAGCCTGCTTCTCCCTCTCCCACTCCCCCTGCTGTGTTCCCTCTCTCGCTGTCTCTCTCTCTCTGTCAAATAAACAAAATCTTTAAAAAAAAA